GTCTCGCCTCACTCTTCTCGTCTGTCTCGCCTCACTCTTCTTGTCTGTCTCGCCTCACTCTTCTTGTCTTCTCGCCTCACTCTTCTTGTCTGTCTCGCCTCACTCTTCGGTGTCTCACCTCACTCTGTCGGTGTCTGTCTCACCTCACTCTTCTTGTCTGTCTCACCTCACTCTTCTTGTCTGTCTCACCTCAGATAGATAGATACATAGACAGACAGACAGATAGATAGATAGATAGATAAATAGACAGATAGACAGATAGATAGATAGATAGATAGACAGACAGACAGACAGACAGACAGATAAATAGACGGACGGATGGATGGATAAATATAGATGAATGGATAGATAGATAGATCGCTAACAGTATATAGCTAACTGTTTTAATTTATTCCTTTAATATTTCTAATATTACATAGTGAAAAAAATTTGAAGAATTTTTATTGATGACTGCAGTGTTAATATTTTAATTCTAGGCCTATAATTCATTGTATAGTAGCCCTGTTTTAAAAATAATTTTTTTAAAAACATTTTAATTGAGGAGTAAATAGCCTAATATTTTGTTATGCTCGCAGCACGTCAGTTATTTGGTCATTATTGTGGGGCAAATTAATTGTAGTTTTAATTTAATAATAAAAGTAACTTCGTAATAATAATAATAATAATAATAGGCCTAATAAAAATAAAAATTTATTGGAAATGCCAAATATCTTAATATTGGCAACAACTGATGTTTTTGACAATATCTCTTGCTATCGTCGACACAAGATCATCGTCTTTCGACGCAGCCCAGCCCAGCTGTTTTATTTTCCAAATGTAATAGGATTAGTCCAACGAATCGAATCGTTCGGTTTGTAATGCGTACCGAACCGAAATCCTCGTACCGTACGGTTCAATACAAATACGTGTATCGTTATACCTCTAATAGATAGATAAATGATAGATGTTTGGATAGTTGAATAGACGGTTCAATATATGTATAGTTGCATAGATAGTTGGTTGTTTGGTTAGTTGGCTACATAGATGGATAAATAGATGAGTGGTTGTCAGGGTGTTGCTCTGCAGTTGCTAGAGTGTTCTCATTGGTTTCTAGGTTGCTATGCGGTTGCTAGGGTGTTCTGGGTGGTTACTAGCTGATTGAAAAATGATGCAGTATTTCAGGACATGCAGCAAACGGTGTAACGCAGGCATTATCAAAGTTCAGTCCTTCAATCCGCCGGTCAAATTTTCCAGCTAATTACTATTTAGCAGTGGCTTCATATGGCTCTTAAATTGTTCAAGGCCACAAATTCCTGTGAAATGGCTGAATTAATTGAGGTGATGGCGAGTGAATTACTCCCAGCTGTGGAGCTGATGCCGTTTGTTTTTGGTGGGCTGAAGGGTCAAAGACGAGAGACGCTCAGTCTGAGAGACTGTTTGAATAAGAGGCAGGAGCTATACGATACCCCAGACCCCCGTACAGCTCTCTCTCTCTCTTTTGCTCTCGTATGCAACAGTAGAACTGTGTCAACTGCATTTATACTGTGGTAGTAGGGATGGGCGATATGGGCATAAAAATATGATATTTCTGGTGTTTAGTGTGATAATGATATCAGTGACGATAATTCAGGGAATCCTGTTTCTTTAGAGATTATTGTCTTTCCTATTTTTACCCAAAATTGGGTGTTGTGAGCATTACTGAGTACACACGTAATGTAATGACTGTTTAATTCATACTGGAAGCCAGAGGGCGCCCTTACGCAGAAACTCCAGTTATGCATCGCAGAAGTAATATCACTGATGAAGCTCCATAAAATCACTAATATGGACAAAGGCATCCAGTTATCGCTGAATAAAACGCATAACGGAAATAGAGAAATTTTAACTGATAAAACTAAAAAAGACAATAAACATACGATTGCACAAAATATATGGTTTATCGGTGTTCTTCAAGCAATCTTGGGTATTTTTCATAAGGAAAGTATATTTATAATGCAATGCTAATCGACATAGCCTTTATCACTGTATATAATACTATCATTCTGTAATATGAAACCACATCTGGTCACAAAAAGAAGTTATTTCAAACACTCGACTATGTTATTTTGGAGAAAAAGCATGTCAATAAATGATATCTTTGTTGGTTTGTAAACAGGCTCATACACATGCAAACTGTATCGCACACGTGCTACTGTACTACATTTATTCAGACAGATTTTTTGTGCACTGTACAGCCCTAAGCAAATCAGTTCCAGATTGTAGAAGGAGCTCCTCATTTAGCGATAAACTCCTTCTCAATTTCACGTCCGCCTTCCGCGATGTCGCACACAGAAATATGTCAACAACTAGACTTTATCGTTATTATCGCAGGAAGACTAATTCTTATTGTGGGGAGAATTTTTACCGGTATATCGCA